TATATATCATATGCATATATCATTTAATATAATTAACTAACAGTTTCTCATTTTTTCAAAATAATCATACAATCATCATGGATTTTATGATTTGTTTTAATATCAGAGACAAGAATTTAAAAAATGACTAGATTTTAACTCGTCACTGAGGACAAGTTAGGTGATCCGCCGCAATTTGACCCTCCAGGAAGTGTGCGCGGTGCAGATTGAACAATTTTTAAATGCTGAAAATAGCCTAAAGTATACACAAATTCAGTTTTTTAAAGAATTTGGGGCATTTTAAAGCTTTACTCATGCATACGTGCACGGCATGATGCACATCCGCATGGTAATGTCACGAAATGTTCACTCATGATATGAGATATATGTATCAACTCTCATTGACAAATGCCTGTTGGTGAGAGACTTAATATCATTTATAATATTTACCATACAAAAATGACGTCATAGATAAAATTCAGGTTTATAGAATTCAGATGGCAATATGATGATGTCACAATGTCTGATCAGCCATTATGATCTATAAAATCATATTTACAACTAAAGTGCTTTCAGAATATTTAATAAAAATTGAGGGTCACCTTTAATCCTAAGGAGCTATAACTGAATAAAAATAGGCCTGATTTTAGCATATTTTCACAGTATATTGGTACAAACGTGCGTAAGGGTCCCTATGTTTGATACACGCGTACGGCATTGCTATTGACCATAAAATGACCTAAAAGAATGGAAATTTGTTAAAACAATGTCAGGAAGAAAAATTATGTAAAAAAACATAATTTCTTGTTTCCGTATGTGCTGCGTGCGTAAAAATGCGCGCGCATAGTGGAAAAATTCAAAAAAATTTGAAATGCTCAAAATGGCCTGAAACGTGCTCTAATTTAGTCAATAAGTGATTTCAAGCATTTAAAAATTTTGACGCATGCGTATGTGCGCATTATGAAGAGCACACGTAAAATTAGGGTACATTACATTCAACGTTAACTTGAAGTTAATGCTCACTTAATACGATTTCTAAATGGCAATTGGTTAGGCTGATATGATCGATAATGTAAAAACACAAAATTGCGCGTAGATGACGTCACGCATGACTGAGCACATTGAAAACCTTATTGTGACCATGGAGGAATTAGTTTAATTCCAGGCCAAGCCAAAGGCAAGCATGTTCGTATCTCGTGGCGATTTTGAGATATCATGCTAATGAGAAATGGGGAGAAATGTAGAATAAAAAAAAAGATCTCTGACAATAACAAGAGGTGATCCGCTCGTGAAGCGGATCACCGATAAATTTAATATATGTCAAATGGACACTTACAGAAAATATTGCAGGGGTATACTCATCATCTATAGATTTTTCAACATGCTTGCTTACTAATCCATCACTGACCATTAGTAGTTCCACAGCATAACGAGGGTTTTTAAAATGTGATGGAAAATTACTTAATGCGAATTTAAATTGTGTTGTGTTGTCTGTATATTGCAAGTGAGGTAAAGAAGTTTCACGACCAGTCTCATTATATGCTCTCATCTGCAAAAAATACATTAGCCACTTTATTCAAAAGTGAAAAATAAAATCATACAGGAGTGAAATAACATAACACCTTAGCCTTTTGCTTACCTTGAAATTAAAAATATATAGACAAAAAGGATGTTATGAAAAATACTGTTTGTTTGAAGTTCAACTGATTCAGTATTGCTCAGGTCCTCAAAATACCACAATGCCAGGATGTTTTCCTTTTGTGACCAAATAAACAACTCAATTTTCTTAAAACATCAAAAATGATATGAAATTTCTCATCATAAAGTTTATTTCACTGTTAAATTCTATCGCTGTGTGATAAAAATAAGGCATGTCGTGGTGAAATGGTTAAGTTGTCGCACAGGCCAGAATTGAGTAAATGAGCTATAAAATCCAAATTTGTTTTTCATTATAGATAGAACAGTTTAATGTCTTATTAATCATGTACCAAATAATTAGTTCTGGAAGTGGTCTACAAATTGTTTATTTAATGTTATTTTGATAGTTCATTCTATTAAACAATGTATGCACAAATAACTTTGAAAGGCAATTACTCAAAATCATGTTTATCTTGATTCTAAGAGTACTGTACTTTCACTTTCCAATAACTCAGGCTTGAAATGTCCAATTTCAATGAATAACCCCTCATTTTAAAGATCACATACTCAGATATCTGAAAATACCAACTTGAATTTCAATTTTTGCTACAACTTAGCCATTTTGCCACAATGCCTCAAATGGAACGATCATGAAAATTATGCATCAAAAAACAATTTGAAACTAGCAAATATAAAAGTTAAATCGCTTGTCATGATAATATAAAAAACACACCATGGGAAATTAAATCCATAAAGTAGACCGCAACAATTTAAAATGCAATCAGCTAGAACGTTGGATAAGACAAATATTACTGCAAAATGGATAAATACAAAACTGAAACCAGAATTTCACTTCTGATCTCTAATATGTGGTCAAAATGTCATCTGTTAAAATGATATATTTAAATCTACATAATTACTTTTTACAAGATACAGATTTGTTTCAATATTACAAAGAAATTACACTGGCAGTATATAAAACTATGTGGTCAACCAAAAATTGAATCATTTGAAGGCATTCTATTATGTAACAGTTATATTAATTCTAAGAAATTTTGAAATCTAAACCTTGTGGAAATGAAGACAGTGAGTTTCTAAAAAAAAATAATGGATTAAAGAATTTACAGATTATGCTGATTTTACGGATGTAAAAATTGGCAGATGTATAACATTGATGTGTTTTGTCATAGTGTTAATAATAATTACAAGATTCCTACCACACGTAAATGATTTAAGAGTAGTTTTACCAATTTCAAAAGGAGGAAATCCTGGTTTAAAAACATGACACCAATTATAATTATGAAAAGGCAAATCCTCATTGTGACTGATATTCTTCTTTGAATATACACTGTATGATTCTTGAAATGAAATTCAATTTGAAGTAGGCCATAATGTTTTATTCTTTATCAATTACATGGGCCAAAGGCCTAAGATGAATAAATCTGTGGTGGATTCAAGAGGTGGGGCTCCGACCTGTCCAAATTTTTCAAAATTATGAAATGGAGAAAAGGGGAAATTCTAACCAAATTTTGGTATAAGAGTGCCATTTCCGGCCATCTTGAGGTGCCATAACCAACCATGGTGGGGCTGAGGTGGTGTAGACTCTCCATCTCTGGAACTTCCCTCTTGGCCCTCTATTTCAAATTCTTGGATCTGCCATTGTAAATGCCCCAGGACACGTAGCTATGAACGAGCATCGTATGCTTAGCTGACAAACTATCTATTTATCATTTAATAAAACCAAAGCCACTTAAGGATCAGGGCCTCGGGCACTTGAGCCATCAATTCTACTCTACTTCATAAGACAGATAAATAAAAATTTGGAATGACTCACCTTGACTGAGAGACTTGAGTTTGATATTTCACTAACACTCTGGAATGTTCCACTGCAGCTTTTGTAATCTATAGTGTCATTGAAAATTTTCCAATGAATGTCATTTAACTGTGTGATGTGTGTCACATTGTTCGATGGGCTAGAAACATTGGCAGTATTTTTAGTATCGTTGAATTCTATAAGCTGAAAATGTAACAAATGCAAATATTGTAATTAGTGTACTCTGCTACACGTGTCTGAGGAATGCACAAAGATGGTGCATGCACATCAAATATTTCAGAATTATATTTATTATCATCATAGATCATCAAATTTCAATTATAATTATCACCACTGCAATTATCATCATTACCATCAGCAACCACATGGAAGTCAACATGGTGATCATCATTATCTTTGTCATCTCCACTATCATAAACATTTTTGTTATATTATGTAATGTGTAACAGGAAATTTATGTTATGATGTTTTGTTTTCGATGCAAACACTGGGCTTTTTAAGATGATTAAAAAAATCTTTAAATATCATATTATAATAATATTCAAATGACGATGCATATTGATGAGTACAGCAAGTCTCACCTTTGACATAACTAACGCCATTGTATATGTTGGTTTTACCGTGAACGATATAGAATTAGAAACATCTTCATCTTGCAGAAACCTTGTCCAATTAATTTTGAGATTAACATTCTGATCAGTGACAGCAAGAAGGATTGTTGGTCCGCCAATAGTTGACCAAATGTAGTGCAGTGTGTCTGAATCGCCAACAGCAGTCACATGTGCAAGATTAAAGGCATTGGTGTCATTTTCATTGTTGCATTCAGGGATGTCACAGCCTTCATTATAAGTAATAGTTAGCTATTTAAAAAAATGTAAAAATATTATTTTGTATTTTCTATATAAATAAATGCATACATAGGCCTTAAAAAAAAAGTACAATAAAATTCATCATTCATCAGGTTTGCATGATATTCGTTATTACTGTATTATTATCTATTATTATTATTATTATTATTATTATTATTATTATTATTATTAGTAGTAGTAGTAGAAGTAGTAGTAGTCGTAGTAGTAGTATTAGTAGTACAGTAGTAGTAAACAATTACAAAACAATTTTGGAACACAATGTTTGTATAGTTAGTTTTTCTAGATGAATTTTATTTTCATTATCATTAATTTCATTATCTTCACACTGTCAAAACACCAGACTTGCCAACCCTTGGGTCATGAAAATCTGGAGATTGTTTCAAGAATCCTAAAAAAATCTGGAGATTTACCAAAAAATCTGGAGGTTTCCAGATTAACCAAAAGATGATGCAAGATACCAAAAAAGTCACGTCACTACAAATCATTGGCCATTAATGGCGACATTCGAATTGAAAATGGCTGCTTGTTTATTGCACCGCAAAGCAAGCAGGTGGCGAATACATTGAATAATTAACGATCAAATCAATCAAATTATGCATAAATCGGAGTATTTTTTTTGGGGGGGGGGGGGGGGGTGGCCTGTGAAATCGGGTGAAAATTACATTCGTTGGAGATTTGTTTAAATATCGGGTAACACTGGCTCCTGAGTCCTTGTGGCTTTCTGAGTTGTGGCCTTTTCGGGTCCGGTCCCGGTTGCCACTCCATTATTGAGGAGTTTTAGATTTGTTTTTTTAATCGTGTTTGTCTTTGTATTTTAAATGTTTTTAACAATGAAACAAATAATATATCAGTGGTGGATCCATCCAGGAATTTGAAATAGAGGGGGATAAGAGAGGGACTTTCATAGTAGAGTGTCTAGAGCCAGTGGCGGACCGTAGGGTAAATATTGCAGGGTATGCTAGGTACAGTATTTATCTAGGATGTACAAGGGGCCGCACATCCTCCCCTACCCCTGAAACTCGCCCATCCCCCAGTCGCGCCCCACCGCCCACAAATCATGCTTAAGTAATTAAAAATCATCTCATATCACCTTATTTGAGAGTTATCCCTACATAATCACCGATTCCCCCACGTTACCTTCCTAACACCATCAGCTCCCTTCCATTTCAAAACCCGCCACTGATGCTAGGGCCTGCTAGTGATAGGAAAGTTCGTAAGCCTCTACTATAAAATCAGATTGCATTCTATAGTCAAAATACATGCATGTTATTTTTACTACCGGCATGGTTGTCTTCTCTTCAAAAGAATTCTTATTCCTGTATTTTAACAAATTTCAATTCAAATATTATAATAATTCAAAGTTTCTTCTACACTGGTCATTATGTATGTAAATATATTTAAACTTTAATCGATTCAGATTAGGCTTATACTGTAGACAGAATACCAGATCGGCAGTGGAGGTCCCGATTTGTGAGAAGAGCATGCGCACATGCTCTTGGAAGCACTGCTTCCATTCCAGTGTTAAATTGGCTATTCTGACGCCACCACATGGTTGTCACAATAGCAAATTTAAGCGTTGTAGGGTATGCTCTGACTTCCATTGACTCACTGAATAAGTGATTGGCTGATATTGAAGACCAGCCATGCAGAAAAAATAAGTACGATAGGATAGGCCCGACTGTGACTTATCCTAGGTACCAAAAAAGTAGGCCAAACATTGAAAAATTTTGCTATTCCAATGGATAGCATTCCACTCGAAAAATTAGGGTGTATACAGAAGATCCTAATTAAGATATGCTAGATAAAACGGAGAAACTGTACTACTATATTTTATTTAATTTGTTTTAGCCAGGGTATGCACTGCATACCTTGCTTGCCTTGACGGTCCGCCACTGTCTATACCACGTCAGCCCTAAAATTTATGATTATGGCACACCTAGATGGCTGGATATGGCACTCAGACTTTTCTTTTTATCTCCATTGTTTGTTAAAATTCTGACAAATATAGGGGGGCCCTAGCAGTCTGGCCCTTGGGGCCCTTAAAATAAAAGTGTCAGGGGCCTGTGGATCACCGTATGTCTATGAAAGTGTATAGGCGTTTTACTGCATCTTCACCAAACCACTGAAGAACTATAAATCACACTATTACAATTTTCTTGTACTCCCAACAGTGGAATGTAAGCTCACTTTGCATTAGGTAGGCTAGTAGGCCCCTACGCCTTATTTAGGTTAGTAAATGTAGGTCTTATTAGGCTATCATTGGCTTTCATAATACAACATGCCTTAGTTAGACTAGGCCTAGCTATATAATACTGTACCATGCCTATTCTATGTTATGCTATAGTTAGCCTAAGCCTAATTAATACTTTGTTTAATTAATCAGAGGTATGTACCACGACCTTCCAGCAGGACTAAGGCATACACAGACAGGCTATATACACACCAACAAGTCATGATACATTAGTATCATAAGAAAACAATCGTCTCAGACACCCTGAACCTAGGGCTTGGTTCCGTTTGTCACAACAATACAACACGACGGGCAGCGAGGACATCGCCTTGCCTCAAAAATAGTCAGGTGTTCCTTGTTTGAAGCAAAGGCCTAGCTTTATTACACTTCTACATACTCATCCTACCTTTCTAGGACTGATTTCAGCAATTGCAAATATAAGAAAAATGCAAGCAATGTAAACCACTGTCGTTGTCCGAGTCATTTTTGTTTTCTAAAAGCTAAACGAATTAAGTTTTTAGGCTACATAGTCGTGCAGCAATATTTTCTCTCGGTGCATTGTTTAGTCACATGATGTGTTACGAAAGGTGAGCATGTGACCAAGTCAGGTGCGCATCAGTGAATGTAGCATGGGGCGGGTGGATGGGGAGGGGAGGGGACGGTCAGAGCATATGTCCGAAGGTCCTTTGGTCCGAAGGGCCGTTGGTCCAAAGTAATTAATTCAAATATAGACAAAAATATATTTGAAGAAACACATGTTTGGGACCACCATTGCTAGCATGACTTGGTCAGCTCAGTTTATGTATATTATTAGAAATTGAAAAGATTCCAAGCGAACGGAGCGTAGGCCTAGGCCTAAGTATAACTTCCTGTCTAAGCAGGAGACAGAAAAGTTTTAATAAGGTGAATTCAACTCTTCCATCCAGTGTTTGAAAAATCTTAACAGATTAATTTACTTTAAATGGCCGATGGGTACACATCTGTTCTTCGACGAAAGTAAAGTAAGCGTGGTCGGGTGTAAAATGTTTCGAAAGTGGTCCATGGGGCGGATCCCTTGGAAAATGTGACAATTAGGGGTTTCAGAGGGATATTCAATCGATAATTCTGAATAGTCTACTAATATATACATATATATATCTTTTTCTCCCCGACGAATTTTGTTTTTTTCTACTCTTCTGGGGGAGGGGGGAACACATTTTTTAGGGGAAATTTTCCCCACCCTGCACCCCCTGTAGTACCGCCACTGCACATTAAAAGTAAATAAGCACTAGATAGGCCATACATTGAGTTTTAATTCATAATACTATGTGATAGTTCAACTGAAATTCTCACTGGGAACATCTCCCTATCCACGATCGAGAGAATAATTTTGATCATGTGAGTTAGTCAGATTTTCGTACATTTCGCAAAATAAAGGAAATATATATATATTTAAATGATGAGGCAGCGAAAATGGATGCAGGAGGTGACAAGAAACTAGTATTTTTTTTTTTAACTTGGCCTTATAGGCCTATGTTGTTTGGGAACATATGAAAAGTAATCTTTCTTAATTTACTCCATATTGTAAGGAATTGTTTTACTGCCGTATAACCTGCATTCCTGGAAAAAGGGGTCACTAATTCGGACCAACGGGCCTTCGGACCAATGGACCTTCGGACCAAAGACCATATTTTCCCCAAGTTTTTAAATCTCATATCTCACTTTTTATCTCATTAACCAATTAGTTTTTCGTCAAAGTCTAAGAATAATAATAAGAGCGTGACCAGGCCCCGTAACTAGGATTTTTTTTGGGGCGGTTCAAATTTGGAAAAAGTGGGCCGCCTTTTGAAGATGTTAACGACCAACCAGTTGCGCTGACCACATAAATAAGAGTTCCATCTTGAAACTTGTATTAAAAGTTGCTACTGCCTATAAAGATTATTTGAACAGGATTGTTTTTTTTTTTAAGTTTAAGCAATCTTCTTTCGAGATTTTTTTTTTTTTGCCATCCAAGCGGAGCCAGCTAGCAAACGGCGGGGATCGTCCGAACACCCCCACCCCCACCTGGTTACGGGCCTGATAACGTTTCTATACTGTTTATCTCACATTTTGCTCATACCACTACAGTAGGCCCGTACGCATGATTTTTATTGAGTGACCAAAATAACTAGGCCAGATCAGCTGGGGTCGAGTGGGCGGACCCCCTCGAGCTCAGACATTGATAATTGCGGTCCAATCTGAGATGCAATATCTGTATAAGAGACAGTATCAACACTATTAAACGGGTTTTCAGTGACAGATTTAGGAAATGAGGTGGGGGGGGGGTTGTGGGGTGGGGGATAGTCTGACTAGGGAGGGTTCATCCACCTCAGCCCCACTATAGTTGGGGCTGAGGAAAGAACATTTATGGTACCTCTGACCGGAAATGGCACTTTATAAAGATTTTTAGATTTAAATAAATCGAGGTCGAGTAAAATAAATTCCTACATATTGGACACACATATTGAGCCTAGATATTAAAGCACAATTTTTAAAAAAAATGTTAGATTTACGTAAAAGAAATAATTATGTAGGCCTATACCGCACAATGAAAACAAGGCCATAATATCATTGGGCACTGAAAATACTATTAATTTACCATAAACGTAGGCCTATGTTATAATAAAGGAATTATAACATACGTTTATGGTATGTTATAATAAAGGAATTAATGAAAATTGCGAATATGAACGAATAATTATACTGATCTTATTGGGAACAGGTAGGGAAAACAATTAATCCATTTTGTTGTTTTGAGGCGAATAACGTGAGCGAGGCCAGTGGTGTAATCTTCGTGAAGCGTTTGCACGTACAGTACATTCACAACTTCTGTAGTCTGTAATCAGTGGCAGTCCAGTTGGAAGCTGCTCTGATTGGTCAAGGAGGTTTGGTGGATCGAATTCTGGAACGTGTGAGGGATGTGTCTTGAATTTTTTACCACTGAAAATGTGGACCTTTGGTAATTTGGGTGGGTGCGTACGCACCGCCGCACACCCCCTCCCCCTCCACGTACGGGCCTGAACAGAGTCCGTTTTAATGTCGCAATGCACTGGCAAAAAAAAAAATTCATGCAGTCCGATTAATGTAGTCCACCAAATGGAACGCGCACGGATCCCTGGGCCGGCTGTGAACTCGGTCAGTTTTTCTTTGAAAGCATGCAAAAATGGCTGAAGAAAATTGTATCCAATGAGATTAATTTTAATATATATCTGATCGCAAGACAATACATTTCTGTTGTCGCATGGCAATATGACGTAAATAAACGACTCCCCACAAGCCGGCTCAAATCCTGCTGAAAACATACTAATATCTATACTAAACTTCTCCACAATCGGTAATTTTTCTCAGAATTTTCAAGAAAACCAATACACAAAAATCTCACAAACATACTCTTTGGCAGATTTATTAGAAGGGCCCCTGGTACACGATCTGCATTTTACTTTGGAGCTTTGACCTGTGTGCTTTTGTGGGAAACACCCTGTTCCAAGTCGAAATGAGACCATAATAGGCCACGGGGCCCCTTGTACTCTAATACTACACTTTTTGAATGTATATGGGGGCCATGGCCGGCTGATCCCTACTTACCCAGAATCCGCCCCGGTTGCTCTAAAATATGGCAATGATTACCCATCACGAATCACGATCAAAACAATTTATACAAACCTACTAATAATTCGGATATTCGATGGCACCATATAGAACGATTTGTTAAGAATACCCTTTTCAAGCTTATTAGACGACTCGGAAGAAAAAGTGATCCAGAAGTCGTAATTATTTAAACATTGGAATGGACTTATAGAATATAATCAGATGCGGATCTGGAGAAAAATCTGGGTAGGGGGGGGGGGGGGGGGGGGGGGATGGGGATGGGGAATGCGACAAGCGAAGGACTGAGGAGCGTGGGTTGTGTTAAGACTTTGTTTAGAAATATTTGAGACCATAGACACTGATGGAATTTCAATCGAAAATTAGTTCGTTTTGGAGAAGGCCTACGTAACGTGCTCTCTTCCTGGATTTTCCTTTCTTCTCTCTCTCTCTCCCCATCCGCCCCCCTCCCCTTCTCTCTCTTTTTTTTCTATTTTTTGGGTGTAGGACTATCCCCTGTGCTCACTGGATCTGTCCGTGATAACGATTGATTTAATAATTGTTTTATAATTTATATTGGCAAATCTTCATTGGAACTTTCATAATTAAGCACGTAACATATGCACGCTAAGAAAATGCACATACGAAAAATGTGTGTATAAAATAATAGTTGATTGTATATCACACGATATTTTTTACATATTCTACTTTACTGATGCAGTTAGCGTAACCACTAGTCTTAAAATGGGAGAGCTGATAGGAGAGCGCGAAGGTCACGTGGTTAAGCTCGATGATTAGGTGAGGGGCGCTAGCTCGTAAAATAAGTTGATTTTTTTTGGGGGGGGGGGAGACTGGATGGGTCGCGGTTTTGTTCTAGTTTTTTGGGAGAGGGGTGTCCCCGCGCTGCACCTCCAGATGGATGGTGCTCACTGGATCTGTCCGTGATAACGATTGATTTAATAATTGTTTTATAATTTATATTGGCAAATCTTCATTGGAACTTTCATAATTAAGCACGTAACATATGCACGCTAAGAAAATGCACATACGAAAAATGTGTGTATAAAATAATAGTTGATTGTATATCACACGATATTTTTTACATATTCTACTTTACTGATGCAGTTAGCGTAACCACTAGTCTTAAAATGGGAGAGCTGATAGGAGAGCGCGAAGGTCACGTGGTTAAGCTCGATGATTAGGTGAGGGGCGCTAGTTCGTAAAATAAGTTGATTTTTTTTTGGGGGGGGGTTCTAGTTTTTTGGGAGAGGGGTGTCCCTCGCGCTGCACCTCCAGATGGATGAAAGGAAATGGCACCCTTAGACTCAAAATTTGAGGAGAATTTTCTTTTTTTCTCATTATTTTTTATTTTGAAAAATTTAGGGGGGGGGGTGCGGCTCCCCACTCCCTCCCCCATTGGATCCGCCACTGTAACCAATGTAACTGGCAACACAAATGTGTTAGATAAGAATATCCAACATCTGAATCACATGCAGAGCGAAAGAAGCAATCGAACACCCGGGCCAACCAGAGGTTAATAGTTGATCGATGATATATGAATTGATTTAAGTTGTTTATTGATTGATTGTTTGTTAATTGATTGATTGATTGATTGATACCGTGTAGGTCTTCCAACAAAATTCCGGACCAGGTATAAGTGGCCCAGGCAAAACTAATAAATTGATACTCTACATAATTTCTTATTTCATAATGTTCAGACGATACACTTACACATTTTGAGTCATATCATTATTAAATTAATAAAAGTATTTTTATGATAGCTGGTGTATATTAGAGTCTGGACACTATTTCTCTATGGGATTTAAAAAGATCTAATGAGACTTAAATTCCGTTACTGCAATTACGATATGTAGGGCAGATATTAGCTTTATTAGCATTAAACCAGGTATGCCTACTACAATAAGGGCATATTTCAAGACCCAGGAAACCCACACAAGTAACATTTGCCATTAACAGACTGAG